CGTTTCTATGTCTAATAAGAATAGGAAACGTGAAGACAATTAGTTATTTGTAAAAAAAGCTAGGTTCAGTTTTTAGCATACTGATTAAAACTGGTATAGACATAGAAATTACTAGAGATAAATTTCATTAGTAAATGATGTTTTTGTTTATGTTAGTTTTAGCATAAGGATTGTGTAAAAAATATCATAGGACAGTAAAACTCTAGATATAATTTTAGGAATATATGTAAATATTAGACTTCATGTTAACACAACACTTTTACTCAGAATAGCTACGTTCTGAGATGAGAGATGAAAAATGGCCATCACAGCCCTACTTCAAAGAACAATAATTGAGTTATAGCTCTGTATTTTGCTCAAATCAAAGCTAGGCACATCTACGTAAATAATAGAGCTTCCTTCCAGAAAGCATTTATGTAAAAAGTACCTATGTATAAGGAGCGTTTAGTATCGATCAGTTACGGTGAAATATCAACTGGAACCAGATATTTTTTATTCTCAATTTTCTTCAAATATAATCTTTGATTAATACTAAACACCTTGGTATTAGCAATTCTCAGGCCATTGAATCTACCTAAGTGAAATGATTTTATACAAAAATATCAAAGCATTTGAAAAACGCACTTCACGTATTCTGTCTCTTTCTAGAGGTTTCGTTTTCACTTTTTTCTATTTTTCATTTCATTTCTAAATATAGGTCTCTGAAACGGTCAATATATTGGCGAATATCTGGAACACGTCTGAAATAAGTTTTACTCATTGTTCTAAGAATGTTTATAAATATTAAACTATACGTGTTTTATTGTTGTCACAATAACGACCGTCAGATTTGAGGGTGAAAATACTTTCCGATATATAAAATCTACCATAAATATCATGGATTTTAGTTTTATTATAATATTATAAGTTTCATACGAAAGAACAATATCTTGATGATTATAATTACAACAATTTTCTTAGGTTCAAGATGAAAGATGGAATTTTGATACCTACGCAAAATAACAATTTTATTCAGTTTCTTTTCATCGCTTTCGTCGCAATATTTCTGGGACAGAAAGTACATAAAAAATAACTATGAAAAGATCCTATAAACACGTTGAATTAAAGGAATACAATGTGGAAGTAGAATTGCTTTCCTAGAACGCATTATACCTATGTACAATGTCATATGTGATTAAATTCATCGTATCTTAAACACAGAATTGGTATGTTTAGTACAAGGCATTTTTAAGACGTTTTTTATATCTTCTATGCCGCTAGTCTAGGGGTAAGAAAATATTTGTGTCTACTGTACATTCATCCGCTTCGTGGATACATTATTCCAGTCGAATGAGTTGAATGAGTCTCGGTAGAGGCTCAACAGGATTCATAGTTATAGGAACTTACATTACTATTTTCGGGAAGTGTTACCTGCTCTAGGAATATTGCCATCGTTTCTTGAATCTTAGTTTATATCGAAATATTTTTCCTGTTGCATTCCTAAATTACCCGAATTAATACCGGCGATACTGGTAATCAGAGGAGATGGCGGATAACTTTAAAATATCTTTTTATTAGAAGTTCAAATGTTATCGGCGCTGAATGAAGCACCGTAAACATTTTGATCAAAAAATGCCAAGCAGCACGTCTCTTTTTTGATAGATTAATATTTGTTTCTGTCAATAGCATGAATTATGAAAGTCATTTAATTGAATGATCATTTAAACTCGTTCCTTTTCTAAATAGATGAATGCGTTTATTCTACTATACGGCTAACAATTGTAAGCACTTGAGGACGAAACTATACAAGATATCTGTAGAATATCCTATATCAGTCCGAGTCGTTTTGACCTATGTAGTTCATTATCTCAGCCTATCTAAGATTACTAAAATTTGATGAGCATTGTATAGCTATTGTGGATAATATCGATAGATGCATTATCAAAAATAATTGTATTAATAAAGAACTTTCACCCAAGTCGATATAGAGGTTTTTTGGATGTTGTTCAATATCACGAAAAGACATGTGATTTCTTTTAGAACGGATATAACTTTTAGTATGGACACTTCATACCTACATATAAAGCTCTTTATAAGTTTATGGGTTTCAGCATTGGATCTGCTTCGAATTCAAGTCTTTAAAAGTGAACAGAAGATATCAACCTACCCATTGTCTTATGACACGTTAAACGCAAAGTTATGGACACCACAGAAAACAATCAGAAAGACATCGCTTTCCAACGTTTCAGGTTATCCCGATCGTTTGGGAAATTTTTTGGAGTGACGTAAAATTGGTGCTCAGGACTGGAATTTGTAAAGACGCGTTACAACACACAAACTTTTGACAGCCATGTTCCTACGCACCTGGGGCATAAAACTTCATATTTAGTTATGTTAAGGCAAAAATAAAGATTTGGATTTAAATTCTGAAGACGTGGAAAATTTAGAATTACAACTAACATTTATGAACAAGGTAAAGTTTGAGCATTCTGCGATGATTGGATGCATTTTTGTACGTTTTAGAACAGTAGGTTTTCCCTGTAAGGGGCTAATCTGTTCCACTGGTTGGAGGTGAGAGCAGCTATAAAGTTGATACCCGCCCGGTAAAATAAATGCCTATTATTATTATTATTAAAAAATGGTGTCAAGTAAGTTGACTCTGTACTTCCACGCTACGATGTCATCGTGATTACGTTCGCAAGTTAGCCCTTCTGAGAAAAAAGTTAGCTACGACCATGCAAAACAAAGATTAAGATATTGACTTTTAGAGTATACAGCCCACAGCAGCACGGAAGCGACTGCCGACAGCGACGCACGACCATCAGCCGGACCACGTGTACGCCTCGATACGCGACTGTTAGAGAAGTTTAAGGGGGAACATGATGAGTGAAATATATGTAATAGGTGCGTAGGAGGCGTGTATTTTATACCAACGTCAAGAAATTGGGATATACCCAAACCCACTCCCTGCAACCCCTGATACCCAATTTTGGACCCCAACAAATTTTTTTTCGAAAATGATCAGGAGCCTCTGGAACCTCAAAAAAACAAAATTTAGCGGTTTTTATTTTTTTTCTATTTTAGTCTTTCCCTTCGGCCCCACTGGATCGATTTTCAAAAACGTTTTCGTCCTTCGCATAGTGTGTGTACTGTGTAGTAGTTCACTGTGTGAAAATGTTATCCAAATCCGAACGGTCCTTTCCAAGTTATAGACGTGGCAATTATTAGCGGACAAACAGACAGACATGATATTTCGTGATGTACATATCATATAACATCCAAAAAAGATCGTATCTCAGGCGTGGGAAGTAATACTATATTCTGAATAAATAAAGATATTCATTGAAATATTCACGGTATTGGAAAACGTTATAATATATAAAGCAGGAATCATGTGAGAACGAATAAGTTGATTCAGCACTTATTTTTTTTTTTAAATGTTGACGGTAAATTTAGAAACATCGCAAAATATAGAAACGGAGAACTGGAAGATCGTGAGAAATGTTGATTAAGAACAAAAGACTCAAATTTATCGATGAATATCCGCAAGAAAGATTCAACCTACTTGATGCCACTGTTTGAGCTGATAAGATCACGCTAAACGACTACTTAGCTGAATCACATGTTCTCCACATATTTCAAAGCTAACAACTAACACCCTTTTTGCCCCTCAGCACATTATCAGTAATTATGGCTTGTTGAGATAAGTTACAAAAAAGTTTCTTGGAAGGAAAAGCTTTTCAAGAAATCTCGACATCGTTTGCCGTACAAAGACCACACTGGATATTTCCAGTAATTTGAATAAAAAGAAATGATGAAATAAGAGGTTGTTTTACCAGCACTCCTGCTGTCAATCCAGTCATCTTTTTTCGAAGAATCCACAACGACTGACGTCGTGCCGTCGACTTCTTGTCATTAAAGCATCTTTTCAAACGTGGTATAGAGTGCAGTTAGCAGGATTCGTGTAAGCCTTTGTTTTCACTTTCCTGTCTATTACGAAATTCGAATTCTTTTCTAAGTTAAGGTAGAACCAACACAACTCGTTATACGATGAATTAAAAACGGACACCTATAAGGATTGTCTAGTAATTACTCACTCGCATAGCCCAAACTATTTTTCAACCAATTCCTTGCCAAGAAAGGCACTCTGCAATTGGGGGCTTTAGTACTTAAAGGCATTGCATGGACATAATTAGTTAATTACTCCGTTAAGCCATCTCTATATAGAGGGTGTTTCCTACAACAATTTCAATATTTAAAGAGGAGATTTTTGAGTCCATTAAGAAAAAAATTTCATATGAACGGATGTCCTAAAAGTCCTAACCTTTGAGATAAAGTTTTCAAAAATAAGTTATTTATTATTAATATCTGTAATAACCAATGAAATTTACTATGCGTGTACGGTGTGTCAAGAGGCATTTTTAACACGTTGACTGCCGTAATACTAAAAAAAAATCGGTCCCTGTGGCCACCTTTTTTTTTCTTCCAAATACCAGTTTCAGTATTCTAGAACACCCATGCGTGTTTTGTGTTCCCAAAAAAAATTTTTTTCATATTCTTTTTCACGTTTCTTGATGAGACCCACCGCATGGTCACGCGGCCTCAACATATGAAGTTTTACCCAATGGCCGCTTGCAACAAATGTTGTGTCTCACCGACTTGTATCGACCTGTCGACCGGTGCGAGCCGAACAATGTATTAGAAGCGAATGCTATCAGTGATATCTCAGTCTAGTTTATGCGGTGTTCATCAGATGTGTTCCAGTCTTCCTAAGAAGCTATAAAACTTGTGTTGTTCGTTCAATCAAATAAATGTCTTATCAAAAAGAGCAAAGGCGGTTGCAGCAATTGTGGCAGGCAAATGTTTCCTATATATTGAAATATGTAATTTTGGAGTCACTAGTACGATGCCCTGTCATTTTTTGTATAGGCCAGTGTAAAAGTGAAAAATATATAAAGTTCTGTTTATCTGTCTATCTGTAAAGTTATAACTCAAAAATTGTTCTGCCAATTTTATTGCAGGAGGTGTTATCTGACGAAAATGACGATCAGCCGTTTGGTGAATCGTCAGACGAATACGTTCCAAGTAGCGATGATGAATCCGACGATTTTACTGAAAAACCACTGTTACTGAAACGCACCAATGTACATGCAACTTTACCACAGCCAAGCTGCTCAAATATACCAGATAATCAGGATTTGGTCATGGAAACAATTATTGAACAGGTTATTCAGAACAATATTGGTTCAAGTAGTAGTGACGAAGAATCTATCGATGATGACCAGCTGATTTGGATCGAATTTGAAGCATTTCGTGTTCACGGAACTTAATCCCGGAGTGAATATGCAACTTTATGCAGACTATTATGATAAATCGCCGCTGGAGTTTTACTATCTATTTTTAGACGAAGACTTGCTCAAAATGATGGTCACGGAAACAAACAGGTACGCAGCTCAGTGTCTGGCTAAAGAAGTTACACGAGGGGCTAGAGTTCGTCAGTGGCAGGATACAAGTGTTGACGAAATGAAAAAATTCATTGGTATACTGATTTGGATGGGTCTTGTTCAATACCCAAGTATTGAATCATATTGGTCAAAAATGACGATATACCAGAATGCGATAAAATCTGTAATGTCTCGTAATCGATTCCAGAAAATGTTGCGAATGTGGCACTCCAGCAATAATGAAAATGTGTCCACAGACAGATTGCAGAAAATATCGCCTCTCACAGAAAAACTCAATAAAAATTTTCAACGTTATTTTACACTGACCGAAGCCCTCTGTATTGACGAAACCCTGGTTCCTTTCCGAGGTCGGTTGTATTTTCGACAATATATAAAAAATAAAAGGCAGAAGTTTGGAATAAAACTGTACGAACTGTGCATTGAAAAGGTTTATACTTACAATATGTTGATTTATTGTGGACCGGACCGGGTAGAGGGTCAATCTTCATCCCAAAAAGTAGTGCTGACTCTTGCAAAGGACTTGTTTGACAAGGGACGGACAATTTATACGGACAATTATTATACAAGTATCGAGTTGGCAAGTGCATTACTTGCAAGGAACACTCACTTGGTTGGGACTCTCCGATCCAATCGAAAAATGAATCCTAAACAAGCTCAAAAAAGGAGAAACAAAAACAAAACTAAAGTGCACGTCATGTGAAAAATATTTTTGCGTTGAGTGTTTTTTCCAGGTACATAAGTGTACAAAATAATTGTTGTTTTTATTATACATTTTCATGTTTTTTGTTCTATATTTATGAGAAATATATTTTTTGTTGTATTCCACTTCATAAGGAGGTTCCTTTTTGAATACCTTTCGTTTTATTATCTACGTATATATCAGGCCATGAGTAACCACTTATAGGTCACGGATCCAAAAACCAAAAACAGTTTTAGACATTTACAGCCGTGATCTTTCAATCCCATACTACTTATATAGGACTGAGACAGCCACCCAGGCTCACACGGCTATATTACAGAATTTCTGACGAGACAACTAAGGTGTGTCACTCGGCTGTTATCGAAAACAACCTGAGACGCCACATTTGTGTCTCACGGCAGCCAACGTGTTAATGCATCACATTTTTTTTTTTTCATCAGTGGAGTCAGCACGGAATTTAACCTACCTATTTAGGCAGACATTGATGCTACTGATTTCTCTTAAAATAAAAATTAGTCTTGAAATCGCCAATTATTTCAAAGCAAATCTGAGCTTGAGTTTTCCAACCCGATGTGCCGTTTTCGCTTCATAAAATAAACACCGTTTCTATGCATTATCATAACAATATCGTTAATATGACAATATAAATAAATAACTTTTATTTTTTAGGTGATAGCCGTACGTCGGACTAAAAAACTGCTCATAAATGAACACAGATTTACATTTTTTTATTTGAAGAAAAGTCAATGGCGTGGTTTGTTTTTGCATCTCAAAAGTTAAGACATTTAGGAAACACATACATATGAAGTTTCCTCCTTAAAATGGATCCAAAAATCGCGCCCTCAAATACTGACATAATCTAATACATATATCTCTCTGGATTGTGGCATGTGTGTATTATGAATTTTTACTTTTTTTCTCGGTATATAGTAATAATAATCAAAGTATTTTATTGAGGGCGAAGTTTAGCTTGACGATATTCTGTAGTTGAAGTATATAACATTGTAGTCATAGTAGATAATAGAAAATAATTAAACATGTGAATACTCACCGAAAAGGATAGATTTTGCGAAATGGGGGATCAAACTTCTAAAATTGTTATTATAAAGTGTAACTAAGTTGTATGTGAAGCACTTATGAAAGAATGTTTCAATGCCAGTCATGTTATCAAAAAAGTAATCCTTGTAGTTTTCCATATCGATATGAATTGCTAAATCGTCGTGGAATACTCTATATAAATGAAATGCAAATAGAAAGAAAAATATCAAGCACATCTACGAGGGCGGGCACCCCCCGTATTCACCCGATCTGGCCCCATGTGACTTTTTCTTGTTCCCTGACATAAAGAAATGGCTCGCGGGGAGAAATTTAGCTCAAACGAGGAAGTCATCGCCGAGACAGGCGTATTTTGGAGAGTCCGACAAATCCTATTTTTTGGGGGGTTAAAAAAATGACAGGAACGTTAGGAAAAGTGTATATTTCTAAAAGGGGATTATGTTGAAAAATAAAAAGAAATTTTTTGGAAAAAAAATGGTGTCTTCATTTCGAACACGGGTACTTATTGAACACCGGCCTCGTAAATATCATTTGTGAAACTTCCACCAAAATATATTTGAAGGTCTTCCGTTTTGTCTTGTCTGGAGGTACTTACCACGTTTTACGAATACCCAATTTCGTGGTGCATGGGATCTCGAACCACAAAGTCAAAACAGTTGCCTGGCAGCAGAGGAACCGATTACAAATCGTTAACGTTCAGAAATATGGCTTTTTTATACATCCACTGTATGTAAATTATAGAAATTCATCATATGATAAAAGCAAGGATGGAAGCGATTCACCAGCAACAATATTCAACCTATCTGATTATATACCAAGACTGAATACCGCCTATGATGCCTGGGCTATCAGCTAACCACGGCCTAGAAACCAGTTCTGTCCAGAGCCCGCACTTCATCAAACGGCCTTTGGTAGCGGGGATTCAAATCTGACATCCTCCGATGAATGATCCCATTGTCCTTCCCCTCATGCCTCCCTCTCCTTAACAGATGTTCAAAACGGCACACTCACACTCACAATTTCGTCTGTGAGATTATTTTTGTAATCGAGCGGATATTCAGCAGATAAAAACAGCCTTAACAGGCTGTAATTAGCTGTTACATGTAAGGAATTGTACTTAATTAACAGAAGGTCAGCTAAAAATATATTGTGTGATGTTTAAATGATAGGCCAATTCTCCTACATTGTACTCATATCACTAATTGTGTTTAAACAAATCCTTAATCACTTTTTTTTAGGAATTTTAAAAGTCCCTATCAAGTTCAATAAGTGCTTACGAGGGCAACACTAAAAGTATAGCTAAGATGGAGAATAAATATTAAGATTCGCGATCCGATTTCCAGAGCTAGTAGGAGATAGAGTGTATCTTTCTATATACAAGTAAATATCTCATTTCGTTAACTGAACTGGATCAGATTCACTCGAATATCTTACATGCTGAAAGGAACGTACACGCTCATCATTATAATCTTGCCTCACAAAACGTATGCAGCGAGATACCTAAACACGGAGCAAAAATTCTTTGTTATATTTTAAAAGTATCTTTGTCCTTTGATGATTTTAGAGAAACCACATCATGAGAAGAAAAATGTGAATCCGGCATTTTATATTGTATGCTTCTTAATCTACGAAACTGTGAAAGCTGACTAACTTGTAAAAATGGAATGCTCCGATCGTCCGCCCATAGCCTGCCAATCTCTTCAGATGGCCATTTAAGGCCAAGGTTCAAGTCCGAAGATCTTGGAACCCATAAGTAGGCTCCTCCTTGCATTGGCGGATTAATGGGGGGGGGGGGGGGCTTCTTAGGTGCTGAGGCTTAAGCTTTGATTACATGTAACGAGTGCAGTGGCGAGACAGCAAAATATAACTAGGCTGAGATAGTTGTACGGGCGAGGTGTTCACACGCATCTGGAACTTTTCTTTGAATCAGTGCATTGACGATCCGAAAACGGGCTAGTTTTGCTAATAACAATGAATCATAACAGCTGTATCAAGAAATATAAAAAGTTACTCATACCACTTATGATTGAAGAATTATATGAATTATTGCGCGAAAAAAAGAAGCGTGTGTGGACAAGAAAATGAATTGCAAGAAGATCAGAATTTGGTGCTAGTAGAGCACACTTTTTAGAGAATTGCAGTGGGAAGATCCTAATGAATTCAGAGAAGTTGCGATGCAACACTCTTCCCAAACACGTCAAGAGGGTTTTCTTCGGCAGAATTGACTTGCTCATGTAAGCTTTTCAAATCAGAAACCGCTTTGACAATATCGCTACTCCTCTTCCTTGCACGTGAACTATTTCCAACGCTGCTAGTAGAAGCTGATGTAGGTAAATTTGTGGCGTTGGTTTGTGTTACATCAGCTGTAGTAATTGCTTCGGTGTCGCGGGATTGTAAGGTCACGGAGTGGTCATTTTCTTGTGCAATGGTATCTTCAGTGCTGGGTTCATTAATCTGAAAATAACCGAAATCCTGTATTGTTTCAGGTACCCCTGAACTATCAAGAATGGCAAAAGATAGAAGCAGGCTTCAGAACTAGATGGAATTTTCCTGGTTGCTATGGCGCTATAGATGGGAAGCATGTATTGATTCAAGCATCTCCGAACTGTGGAAGTGAATTTTTCAATTTTAAGGGCACGAATAGTGTTGTGCTCATGGCTGTTGTTGACCATGACTACTATTTCCGTTATGTTAATATCGGAGCAAATGGAAGAAACTCGGACAGTGGAATTTTCAGAAATAGCGCATTATATAGCGACCTTGAAAACAATATGCTACCAACAGGTGGTTTTTTAGTTGGTGATGATGCTTTTGCACTGAAGACATATTTATTGAAACCATACAGTGGCACAAATCTCACAAGAGTACAAAAAATATTTAACTATCGATTATCCAGAGCACGTAGAATAGTCGAAAATGCATTTGGCATCCTAACAAGCAGATTTAGAATATTTCAAAAACCTATACCAACTGACGTCAACACAACCGATAAGATTATTCGAGCCTCATGTGCTCTTCATAATTGGTTGCGCCTAACAAGTCCCAGTTGTTACTTTCCAAAGGATTGCGTGGACGTAGAAGATATTGACTCTAGAACAATTGTTGAAGGGACTTGGAGCCGAGAACTCATAGCCACCTTGCCATCTATCACCGATCACACTACCAATAATTCACCACGAATAGCAAGAAATCTCAGAGACAAGTATACCGAATACTTTAGTGGAGCAGGTGCTGTTGTATGGCAAGATAGAATGATTTCATAGTTGTAACCAAACCAAATAAACTACTTACATTTTCATATGTCTTTCTTTTCAGATCGTGAATAAACACCTCTTCCATTTCCTTCAGCCACTTGATGTTTGAAGTATACACATTACTGAGTACAGCCCCTGATCTCTTTGAATCATTAATTTTGTTCAGTTCTTGACTGTACGTGGATCTCAAATTTTCAATCTTATTTTTGACTTCTTGCACTCCAAAGCCATCAATATCCATTTCTTCAACTATTGCGGCAATTGTAGCATCCCGTTTCTGTTTATTTTTGTAGTCCGTCGACTGGAAATTCCACAAGCAAGAATGGGATTTATATTGTTGGATAAATTTGATTGTGGTTTCACAGTCTCATTTATCCTTAGCCATATTTTATTGAAAGATGAAACAGTCGGACCATAAAACTAGACGCAGTTTCGCAGTTGCTTTAGATGGCGAGTGATATAGCACACCGAGTGCCTGTTCAAACCTGTCGAGCGCGTGTCGAGCGATATACCGAGTAGGTAGGGGGGGTGGCACTCGGTCTAGTAAGGAGAAAAGGGTCCGAGTGACTGTCTCGCTCTACTACTGGGCCCAGTGCTCGGCCGAGCGCTCGGTTACCTGTTTATACTAACCGAGTACTAAGCATTACCTTTCTTATCATAAAATGGTACACACTGCTATATGTTGGTACAAAAATTACCCTGCTAACCTGAATCGTAGAGATCCGCCACTGCATCTTTGTACCTAGTTCGTTTTGTAGAGGTAGACGATAGTTTTCACAAAGCAGTCACCACATTAAAATCCAGTGACAGACACAAAACGTTGAATGTTCCATGCCACAAAGTTATATCAGACAGGATAACAGAAGCTACTTGAGTCTCAAAAACTCGCAGTGGGACACATACCGTCCCCCAAAACACGAAGTGTCCTAACTGACATTTCCATAATTTTACAGGAGAGCTAAAACAAGAAAAGGGATCTCTTTGAGAATCTGGATGTCATACAATAAAAAGTGTATCACAAAACCTTTTGAGCCTGTCATACTCAAATCTACCAGTTTTCAAATGCAGCTAGCAAAATGGTTGTATGATGAATCAGTTTTGAGAAAAAAAATGGACAAGTCAGATACGGCATTTCGTGTTGTCAAAAATAATTCTTTAGGCCCGTATCGTCAGTCGTCTCCTTGATTGTCATAGTTTTCTACTTCTCCATGTCAGCGCTCTATTTTGAGGTTATGTCACAAACATCTATTTGCATCAAATTGTGCTTGCTTTTGAGTTTTATCATCTTTTATCAGTCTGAAATTTCCTACAATTTAAAAGGAAAACATATCTTAACAATAGGAGAGCGCTGACGCTGACACAGGACGAGTGTAGTCTAGAAATTTTTGAAGGAGAGAAAAGAGTATGACAATCAAAGAGGCCATAAACGCGCCCTACAATTGTATTGACGACTGACGATACGGGCCTTAATGATGCGACGGAAGATACGACGAAAAGTTCTTGTTAATAATTTTTATTGACAGAGGTAAGGCACTAATAAACAAAAAAATATAAAAAATTCTCAAAATCTATATAAAAAAGTAAACCCAAACCTTATCATGAAGAAAGTCTTCATAATTTTTTTTTATTCCGGTAGTCTTATCACGGGATTTCTGCTATTACTTAAAGCAAGGAAGTGATTATATTTCTTATTAGAAACATTTACTGATGAGGCGCATAGTGGCCTTACTGACATTTCACTATTTGATGCGCCTCTTTTCAATTGAATAAAATCATACTCTTGTGTCAAATGGCTCGTCTTGAAAACTATTTTATCTTGGTGTTACTTATTAACCTTAACTTCCATTATGTCTGTCCAGCTGATCGATCTTCCTGAAGCTGTAGTACGTATTGATAAAATCCTCAAATTCTTAGACAAAGCTTTAAAATCCATGAAGTCTCTCTAAAAGTTAGGGGACATACTTTATACGGATGTTTCCGTCTTGCCAAATTGATAATCGGTAATAGCTGAGTCGGCTCAAAGATATCCCCTGCGTTCAAAATTGCATGAGAAATGCGGCTATGGGCAGAATCCCCTTCATTTTGTCCATGGTTTGTAACAGAGAGTCTTAAAGCGATCTCCATCAGCGATGGAAGGGTACTCAAAGCATACCAGAGCATAGCGACAACTATAGTGCTTTTATTCTGGCTATTGCACCGATCCGAAAATAAAACAACTTTTGTTTTATCTTGCCTAGAATATTCCTCTAAAATTTTAAAAAGGCAGGTCGCTACCTCCGAGGGTTCTTACCTGCTGTTTCATGCCACACAAAGCAATAACAATCTTTACTAGCTAAATCATATAAAGTGAGGTTCAGAAGTACAGCATCGCGGTAGAAGAATTAGGAGACCAGAAGATCACGATGTCGTATCTGCAAATAAACTTAGATACGACAGTTCGTGACTTTGAATGCGCTAAGGCAGATACGTTTAAATCAAATATTAAAATTACTCAACGTTGGTTGAAAATTCAGATACGACACCTTGTGAGCAGGAAGTGGCGACTTTATAATGCTCTTACCTGGACAAACAGGTTGCTAGTTACTATGTTTATAGATGTACTATGCTAACGGACATGATAGCAGTCTTTTCTCGTCATCGAACATTGATATGTCACTGTTTAATAGCGCTCTTCATCTTGGTCTCTCTATTGCTGCTCTGTTCAACTAAGAAAGGCAAAATACGGTATGCGAGCGACATGTTTATAAACGCACCTCAAAAGTGACAAAAAAAGCAACGTGACGATGATGACAGGTGACGTAAGGACATTACCAAAGAATGTTGAATAGGTGCGTAACAATCGTCCATACGTATGTGAGCAGAGCAAGGCTTTCGTACAGCCCAATAAAGAAAAAAAGGTAACTTGTTTACGTTCGTGGCAGAGGACTAACAACGGTATCTAAAAATAAAGTCAGTAAAACATTATACCAACGACTTCGGGAAAAAGTTATCCATATGAAGCAGGGACAGACTATCATTTAATATTGAGTTTTGCCACTAGTTGGTCTACAATGGCGTACTAGAGATCTTGAGTGCCCAGATTACCTCTAGGGTTGATTAGTTGCCACATTAATTACAGGTGTAGTACTGACTCTATTACAAAGCTCCACAGAATTGATAGAAGAAGAGGACTAAAACTGGAACCAGAGTCACTGTCTCCAACAAGACATATGAATGGTTTGTTCGTACAGCCTGTTTGCTGGCAATCAGCAAACTGATGGTCGGCGACAAGTCATGACCTAGTTTGCGCAGTTAGCTGTCACTGACACGTCACTGACTGTATTAATTGCGTACATAAGAACGTTACGAGTTGGCTGAGGGAGGTCAGACCGATTATCGACAACTAATCCGCTGTTCGTACAGAAACTTCTGACTGTTTGGTGACTGTCAAATCAGTCAGCAGATAATTTTCCAGTAAATTGTCACAGCTCGAAATCTAGTACAATAATTATTCCAACATACATTTTTTTAGAATGAAGTAGACAATTTTGAAAAAGTTGGGGGTTCATTTGCTATAAACCAGAATGATCTAGGATTTTTCGTCCAACTGTCCAAATGTGCCCGAATTTTCCTTTAGAGAGGAAAACATGGACACCTTCTAGAAAAAATAACAGCACCCAAAAATGTCAAGTAATTACCATTCAATTCTCATATATAAAGTATAAACATAAATTCGAAGAACTATGATTCCACACATCGAATGACAAGTTGAAGAAGTATTACTCCATTATATTGCACACAATTGTTGAGGTGTCCATTGTCTATGTTCTTTAGCCCATCTAAGCCGATTTTTCTTTTGCAGTGGAGTTAATAGTGGCTTTTCTTTGGCCTATAAACAAGTTGTGCAACTTTAGGGTTTTTAATTCACTTTTTTTATAGAAAAACTTACCTTGCAAGTGCTAAATCCCGTTTGTGGGCATCTCTATGCGTTGGGGACCTCGAAATTCTCCTTCCAACAGCGTCACTCCACAAAGCACCTAATTGTAAATAATTGGCACGCCTGTTTTTCACGATTATTCTTTTTAATGCTATTCGGTCGGCATTTGTGATATTACTTTTTTTCACATATCGTGGCTTAATATTAACTGAATCAGTTACGTTATATCTTCAACATGTGTTATTTTTATGCTTCAAATTTGATTAGGGAGTGATAAAGTTGGTGTTTTCTACTATATATTATCAAAATATTCATTGTTAATATTTTAAACCTATAACACCCTGCTACATTTTTATTATTTGTGTTCGATAAGAAAAAAACTAAGATTTCAATAGTTGGGCCAACTGAAGTGGGAAGGGGCTCGTAGTGTCGGTATGAAAAAATACATTTGGTGATGGAAGTCCAAAGAAGAAATGTGGAATTGAAAAGTTGATTACGCCATCTTGCCGAAGAGAATAAGTAACAATGACAATATGCAATTTATTTTGAAATCCCATCTCGAATTGAGTTGGGTTTATTTTATAAATGACGGAAGCATATAGGAACAAGTAACAGACTCGACGATGTTACAGGTTGATAAACAAATTCCATATCTAAAGCGATGCACACATCTTGTGTTCCAACGATAGATATTAATTATTTATCTACGGATGAAATATCATGTCACGCTGAAATAACGTTTGTTATGTTCGATAAATGTGCAAATTATCTGAATGCCCTTTTACACGCTTCTCAAAAACTAAAGAAATCTAATTAGCGATCCAACCAAAGAAATATGTGATAAACTGTCACTTTCAAGGCCAACAATTAAAAAATCAGTTTTTTTTAAATATATTATGTTTGGTATTAAAAATTTCATAATATACATTTTTGGGATGAAAATTAAAAAGTATGTTCTTTTGTGTATAAATCCAATATAGCGACATAAAGTAGATGACTGAGGTCAAGAGGCGAAATTCCAAGTAGCAACGTTAATGTTCAATTTATTCTAACATCCCACCTGAAATAAGGTCAACCCTTTTTACCATTTTCGTGATAGCATACCAACTTTGTTCCAGCATGTAGTGATTTGGTACCCGACTTTGACTAGGGCCATTTTCAAGTTACAATAAGTGGTGGTTGCATGGAGGGGACCGCAGAATATACCTGAATCTGACAGAATAATTAACCATATGTGGACCAAAGAGAAGCTGTACCAAGAGAGGACATGTCTTTGAAGTTTGCCGGCCGCCTCCATTGATCTTGTCTCCCTAAAATCGCTTGGC